GGTGGCGATGTAGTGTCTATTGTTCCATTTATGAGTACTCTAATGTCCAATAATGTTCATATGATCCCCACAGTCATTCTGACAGATTGTAATACACTACAGGAAGTGTAGGGGCGTTTTTGTTTCACTGCACTATAAGAGAAGAAACCACTTATTACACAAACAGTATTTTGAATGCTGGTGGCAGCAAAAAGAGATGAATTAAAAAAGGCAGAATGATTAGATTAGTCAATTTATTGAATAATAGTCAGTTAATCATACTGATTATGTACATATTTAAGGCAATAAAACATTTAGCTTCATTTAATATCAGCTCAGAAATTCTTCACAAACTGTCGTCCAGCTTATCTTAAGGATTTTGCAGTCCTCTGACTGCCCTCTTGTTGCAAATTTGAAGCCACCTATTATGGGTTTGTGATCAGGGTTTAATACAGTACAGTAATAGTAAGACTGATTTTTTTTTAATCTGCCTGTTTTCTGCCTGACACATCCAGTGTGCAGTAACCTGTAGCCTTGAATCCTTTGTAGAAATCATATCAAATTTGACTGATATGCCCTCAGACCTGCTCTAGATCAATCAATTTTCTTCTAGCTTCTTTAGAAACTCATCTGTTATCCTCAGCAGGGCGAAGACTGTTTCCCTTTGTGGGTATCGCAAAAAAGTACTGCACAACAGTGGATTAGTGTTTATGCAAGCTATGCAAACTTTCAACCATGTGAACTTTAGTGTTTCACAGGCAGTCTGAGAGGGAGCGAGGGCACAAGTGTGTGAGTGTGTGTTATAACAGGTCCCGTTGTAATGAATAATGCATACTGTGTTGTTTGTTTGTGCACAGTGTTTTGGGGAGGTTTAAAGTGCTGCTGCAGCTCTTATCGTTAATATTAAAGCTTCACCAGAGATCCAATAAAACACAAACATTACATACAAAATAACACACACTTTACAGCACATGCACTACAGACAAATCAACACATGCATTCCAAAAACAATACGCAGTACAGAAAAATTAACATGCACTACAAAGAATACAGACATAACAGCACATGCACACAGACAAAACACACACACACACACACACACATACATACACACAAACACCTAAACACACACACAGACTATAAAACTACTTCTCAGCTCTGTCAACATACCAACACTATTAACCCTCACCACAGTTCACTCCAGATTTATTTTCCACCTCTTCTGCAGACGCAGTACTACTGTAGGCCAGACCTACATGTGATGTCAATAAAAATGCTCTCTCTCTATTTCTCTCTCTCTCTCTCTCTCTCTATCTATCTATCTATCTATCTATCCATCTATCTATCTCTCTCTCTCTCTCTCTCTCTCTCTCTCTCTCTCTCTCTCTCTCTCTCTCACTGTCACACTCACACACACACATGCTACCTTTTGCTTGGCCAGAGAGACATCACAGCAGCTTCAGAAAGGTCACATAGCTCTGACCACAAAAGAAATCTGATCTGTCAGTCCAATTTCTGCTCAGGGAAAAGACAGCAGGACACAAAAAACACAATAAGGAAAAAACTAAATAAAATGCAAAAGAACAAAACCAAACCAAAAACCCAAAAACAACAACAGCAACACAGACAATAACACAAATTAAACAGATGCAAGGAATAAAAACAAAAAAAAAGTTCAAACAATGCAAAAAAAAGTAAACGTTTGCAAAGAAAAAAAGAAAAAATGCTGCAGGGTGTTTTACCTCTCAGGTCAAAGTGCTGACAGGATGATACACTGGCACTCCAAACAAAACAGTCTCACTTTATATTAAAATAATAATTCTGCTCTGCCAAGAGTCTGAGTCAAACAGCCGTGTGTGTGTGTGTGTGGTCAGTACTGGTTGGGTGACTGCAGAGTGTGTGCCAGAGACAAATAGAGAACAGCAGTGCCAAATACAACGCCAAATAAAAGAGAGATAGAGATAGAGAGAGAGAGAGAGAGAGAGAGCGAGAGAGAGAGTGAGAGAGAGAGGGAGAGAGAGAGAGAAAGAGAGAGAGATTTTATTGCCAGTTAACTAAACTGTCATTAACAATACTTTAACAAACTCTCCTCTTATCTCTCTCTCTCTCTCTTTCTCTCTCTCACACACACACACACACACACAAACACACACTCTCTCTCTCTCTGTATTGGTCTCATTTGCACTAAAACATTTTTCCAACATTTTTCATCACCAAGACACCTTTCTGAATCTGAGCACCGCCTCCATTTATCCTCTCAGCCAATCAGCGCACAGTGTGGACACACAGCTAGCTGATCAGAACATAGCTCTGTAAACACCAATTACTTAAGTGCCTGAGTTACCGTTACTCTCTCACAGGAGAAAATGAATAGTGGATGATTGAGGGATGAAGGCAAGAAGGGATGAATGAGAGAAAGAGAGGATAGATATATGTTTGGCTAAAAGGATGTGAATGAGAAGGTATGAAAGGAGAAAGGGATGGAGAGATATGTGATGAATGGGTGTATGGATAAGGGAGGAAGGGGATGGATGGATAAAAGATGGAGGTACGGAGGAGCAAGAGAATAGGATGGAGAAAGGAAAGGGGGGAGGGAGGGATGGATGAGGAATGGAGGGGTGGATGAAAGAAATAGAGAACAGATGGAGAGAAGGAAGAAGAAGGGAATGGAGAGATGGATGAGACAAAAAGAGATGAAAGGTTGGAAGAGACTAAGGGGGCAGGAGGGTGGGATGGATGGACAAAAGATAGAGGGGATAGAGGGGTGGATGAAGATAGCAAAGGAGGTAAGGATGCATAAAAGAAAGAGAGGATGGAGGGATGGGAAAGGTGTAATGGGGGAGAGACACAGCAGTTGCTATGGAAACCCCAGTCGATGCTCCCGTCACGCTGCCCAAACACCGTATGCTCAGAGAAAGAAAGAAGGAAAGAAAGAAAGAAAGAAAGAAAGAATGGAGGACAGAGAGACGCAGGAAAGTCTCTGGGAATGAGAGTGAAAAAGAAAAATGGAGAAAGAAGAGAAGAGAAAAGAAGACAAGACAAGAGAAGAGAAGAGGAGAAAAACAGATAAGAGCAGAAGAGAAGAGAAGAGAAGAGAAGAGAAGTTGTATCATATGGTGGCCATGAATATGAGGCACAGGTGACACTGTGGTTCCTTTAGGTTCCTACATTATAAACTCAACTACGAGTCAAACATCTTCATGACCTCCACAGCCACAACCTGAACACAACTGAGCCATTCTGGACCACAGAGTATGAACCACCTCCACCTCCATCATTCTTTATCCTAAGTTCTAGAGGCTTCTCTCCAGGATCAGTGCTACAGTACGTTACAGACACCTCAGCAGTGGCAGCAGGAGAGCAGTAAGTGTTCTGAAGGCAAGTAGTAAGAAAATGAGAATCTCTCTCTCCTTCTCTGTATCTCTCTCCTTTTTCTCTCCTTCCCCCTCACTCCATATTGTGCTATTTTCATCTTCCATATTCCTTCTCTCAGTCAGCCTTTCCTGTCTCAGTCTCTCCTCTTTCTCTCCTGGCTAGCCTCATCCTTTTCTTTCTCCTCTCTCTCCTTCTTTGTCCCTTTGGTCTAATGAAATCATAGCTCAGCTGCACACTAATGACCCTGTCTCTCTCTCTCCCTCTCTCTCTCTCCCTCTCTCTCTCTCTGTCCTACAGTCTTTATCTTTGTATAAAGCCCTCAACCTCAGGAAAGACCAAACAGCAGACACTCACCACAGTGAACACCAGCTTCACTTCTACATACAGGTTTCAGAGTGAAAAATAGGACCATTTTTTTTTTCAAAAATACCAATATTAAGGAGCTAAAAATTCTGATAACCATGAAAAATTAAACAGATGTCATGATATGAAGATGGTGATTCAACTGCTCTGATTTTGGAATATTACCATCATTTACATAAAGCCAATATAAGTATAATGGTGTTTAATATTTGATTTGGTTTTACTGAAATGAGACACTTCTTGAAAATAAATGTGCTTAGAATATAACACTTGTTTTCATATATATTCCAGCATATATTCCGGTGCTGTGTAAATAGCTCCTCTAGGTACACTCAGTGTATTCAGTATATTCTTAAAAATGATTCTGAATCATACCAAAATAATTGAATCAAATTCAGGTGAGGTAAAATCTGAGACTTCTTGATTCACTGAATCGATTCCTAAAGAAATCTAATTTAATGAGATTGTTCATAGACTTACACTCTATTACACTCTATGCTTTTATCTTAGAGATTTCTGCTGATGTAGATAAACCCATCTGGCTGATTTTATTGGTCAAACAATATATTGTCCAGGCCTTGTCAGATTTCACACTGAACCGAACCAAATCAAACCAGTCCCTGCGCTAATATGTACATTGCCTGTATATTACTTGTCCATATATAGTCTGCTCTTATTGTTGTGTACTGTGTATACTGTGTATACTGTGTATATTATACATTGTGTATTGTCTGTAGTTATTTCTACATTCTTTGTATGTGGCATTTAATACTAGAGAGAAACCAACAGCTGGAACCAAATTCCTTGTGTATGTGTGTCAACATACTTGGCCAGTAAATCTGATTCTGATTGTGATTGTGAACAGAGCTTTAATCGAGCCTGAGAATTTGACCTAATGTGATAAAACTCCACAATCCTAATGACAGCAGCTTCGCAACAGCGACAACCGCTATCAAATCATCATAAAACCAGCAAGATGAAGCATGATTCATCTCGTCATATCATTTAAAAGACAAAATTCTTGGTTTACTGTTATCTTCCATCAAAATATAATGACTTTCGCTTTGCCTCTAAAATGTCTTGTGATTTTTGATGACATCATTGTGCACCAGCTGGCAGGAAATGTAACATTAGCCAATAATATTGTGTGTTTAATGTGGGAGATGGACTGTGAGGACCCTTAAAGTGAAATTTTGAACCCGGCCCAAATAGTTCAGACAGTCAGCTCAAACAACCAGCAGGGGTCAGGGGTCTAAAGGTCACGGGATGAAACAGTTACTCACAGGGCACGGTGCGGAGGTACAGATTGTCACGGATGATCTGCTGGAGCTCGTGGTCCAGAGATCCTTTCTGAAAGCGAAGATTGAGGTAGCGCCTTAGATCCTTATCCACAACACCTCCTGAAACAGAACAACACGAAACACATGCACTTAAATTCCTTCCTTAGGACCACAATTTCAAATAAATAAGGATTCTCTTTCATTTTTTTGGATGATTTTTATTTTATATCAAAATATATTATTTTTTAAAAATGTATTACATCATTACATTTATCATTCTCCTCAATCACTTTAAACTGTGGCCCCACAGGAAAAAAAAAACAAACTATTAAATATTCAGACCTCAGTTATTTGTACTGTAGTATAAAATGCAATGTTCAATCATTTATTTTAATAAAATAATTAAGGTATAGAGTCACCAAAACAGAAGGATTTAGACTAATGTCCAAGTCAGTAAAACGTCTGAAATGTGTTTTAAACTCTAACTTTAAATCAACTGGTAGAATCGCTAAAATCGGTAGAGTGAATCATATAGGTAAAAAAAAATAAGACCACAGATGATGCAATGATGTCAATGTCAACATTGAGCGCAAATCTGTAGAACTCTGCATTTAGATGGACATGGAATTCCTTAATTCTGTTGAATTACTTCAATTCCAAGAAGTTGCAAAGCTGAAACTATATGACCCTAAAAATATACATAGTATTATAACAGAGTCCAAAATATTATCAAACTCCACTGTTGTCAAGCCATGTAAAAGCAAAGGACTGCAGTACAAGTGACAAACAGGTTTTTATCTTAAATGTGACTTAAGCATGACAGGCAATATGCTAAAATCTAACGTTAGCTCAGTAAGTTAAGGTCAGCATTTCTAACGGTCCACTTGCTCAGATATGTCCTCATCCTCCTCAGGTACATGATGCTGTAATTCCAACAATTTCATGCATAAGGATTATATTCAGATAGAGATTATCCATATAAAAATGCAGTTGTAAATGCAATTAAGACTTCTTTACAACAGATTTAAACCTGATCACTCAAACCCCTTTAGGAAGTCTTTTGCCAGATGTTATGCAAGTTTAAAAGCTTCATTTTACCACCAAAACCCCTCCCAATACTGTGACGTCCCCAGCCAGGGCCAGAGTGGGACTCACTTTCAGGCCGAGAGTTACATGATGCAGACCAGCCCACTGCAAACTACACTGGGGTGCACGACTCTGGTCCTGTCCAGCACAGTTTGGTAACTCCCCTACTCAAACACATGTACTACAACTGGAAATCAACAGATGAGTGTATTCAGGTGTGCTTGAGCAGGTAAATCACCATATTATGCTCCAGGACCCCTGTTCTATAAACACATACAACACTGCCATTGTGTGAAATGTCATTTTTTAAAATATGTTCTTTTTTTCATTTACATTTTTTAGTTATTTAATATTTATATGCTACACCAAGATAACCAAGTTGGCTAGCTAGTGATAAAATGAAAACTGGAGAAAGATTTTATACTTAATGTGACATAAGCTTGACAGTCAGTATGCTAAGTTAAGGTTAGCAATTCTAACTGCCTACTTGCTTGAATATGTCCTCATCCTCCTTAAGCGGCTTTTTCACTCTTGTCATCTTGGCACCACCTTGGTTTTTTCAGTTCCTGCCACTACTATTCACTATACGAGACTCAGTAAATATCAGGGCTGCACCACTTGAGGTGGGGGCTGCTCATTTAACCCCTAAATTATTACGGCTATCCACTTGAATGTAACATAGTTCGTCTGAGCATTCTCGTGCTTATATGCATGAGTTCTGCATATGGGGAAAGGACTACAAAATATCCATGATATCACTTAGGCCTTCTCTCTACATTACATTAGAAATGGATTTGACTTCCAAGTGTAAAATGAAACAGTCAGGTGTAAAGAAGGGTCAATAGTCTCGTGTAATAAAAGTAATCCAGTCTTTTACTTAAAGACAAACTAGTGCACTCTAAAGTACCTCTGTGTATTCTCTTTTAAGCCAGCGCTGAAGCAATAAAAGACTACTGAGAACTAAATTCTTGTCACATATAGGTGCTTATATTACATATTATTACTACATATAAGAATTTTCATACAAATAATACATATGGATCATATATGGAAACTATTGTATTTACGAATAGGTATTTACATATATATATATATATATATATATATATATATATGGGGCATATTATCATTACATATAGGCATTTATATATATAATATGCCCTAAACTCTTTCTTTCTTATATACAAATATGTACAGTCACAGATCATATATTATTATTACATGTATTACATCTGTGGAAAGACATGTCTTTCATATTTATTACTGCGCACACACACAGGCTGGGATGAATGGAGAGGGGGTGCTTCTTGAGAAAATTGCTATGTCAGCAACTCAGAGAGAGAGAGAGAGAGAGAGAGAGAGAGAGAGATACAGAGAGAGAGAGAGAGAGAGAGAGATACAGAAAGACATAATAAACATTCCCTTGAAATTCGTGAGATTAATTTAAAATCAGTAAAATGAAATAAAATCAAAATTAGGCATGCTGTATAACATGAATAAGAATGGGAAGCCACCACTTAACATAATGCAAGGGACCAAAGGACATCAGAGAGAGAGAGAGAGAGAAAGAGAGAGAGAGAGAGAGGAAAAGAGAGAGAGAGAGAGAGAGAAATTAGAGAGAGAAAAAGGAAGATGGGTGACAGAAAGAGAAGAGAGGGAGGAGAGAGAAAGAGAAAGAGAGAAGAGAGAGAGAGAGACTGATTCTGGTTCCATTATGCATTTGTACATATGCGTATGATCAGCTGAAACACGAGCCTGTCTGTACCGTACACATTAACTCACATGCAGCACTGAACGAATGACTCAAAGAGCAGCGCAGTGAGACGGTCATGTCACGCGCACACACAGATTAGCGGAGATGATGCTGTGTGTGAGAGGAAGCCGCTTCCAGAATAACCTACTTTTGAGAAGCCACACTCACACACATGCACACATGCCTGAAGGTGTTGTTCACAGCGCTCCATACAAACACATCTGAACAAAACATACACGCTCACACGGCGCCATAAACAAACTCATTAAGAATCAAAGCACACATGCACGTTTAGAATGGAACAGCTAAGACACACACACACACACACACACACACACACACGTATGTGCTGTGCACAAGTCAGAGATCACCCTTCATTTATTTACATTCCAGTCAAAATGGCCATTAAGTACAAAATATTCTGCAAAAAAAGCAGAATATAATTAAATTTTTCAGTATTTAGTGTGTCCACTCTCCCATTCCTTTCAGGAGACTTGCCCTTAGATTTTCAAAGAAATCTGTAGGGATGTTTTTCCACGCCTCCAAAGTTCAGTCTTAGAAGTTGGTTGCATTTTCTGCTTCTCACAAACCCAAAACACATCCGAAGATTCTCTGTAATCCCAAACAGATTCAGTGATGTTCTTGGCTCTGAGAACACCAGACGCTTCTTTGCCTGATTTGCAAATTTTGACAGCTACACATCCTTTCCGACTCATAGCATTAAGTTGTCTTCTCACAGTGGAAGGATGGACAAAAGGATGGATTTTTTTTGAAGCAGAAGTGGAGCTTGGTTTTGTCCTTACACTCAAAGAAGAAAGGTCTACCAGGTCTTGCACGGTTGTTAGGAGTCTCACTTTCTTTGTATCTTTTAATAATTGTTTTGAACTCCAGTTTTGACTTCCCCCTTCCGTAATGAATTATGTTCTATCCAATCTCCTGAAATGCATTTCCCAGTATCTCACTTTACACAGCAATGCATATGTGTAATATATATATATATATATATATATATATATATATATATATATATATAACCTTTATGAAGTCAAACACACAGATCAGAAACACAGTTGTGTGTACAGCATCCTTAAAGAAGACAAAAAAGGCACACTCTCTCACACACACACACACACACACACACACACACACACACACAGGAGTCAGGGTCGGGAGTAGAGGATTTGTCATAAAGTCATTAATGACACACACACAGACGCGCTCAGAGGAGACTTACAGGACGCTGTAGAGAGGCTCCTCGTTCACACAGCTCGACTGGACGTTGCGGACGCTGTGCGCGTGCATGCATACGTGTGTGTGTGGGTCTTTACGCTCTTGCGTGTGTGCATGTGTGCGTGTGTGTGTGAGCAGTTTTCCACAGGTATAAAGCCACAGTGTGCAGGTTCCTACAGCAGCCTTAACGGTACACTCACACTCTGCGTGCTGCAGAGCCACAGAGAGAGAGAGAGAGAGAGAGAGAGAGAGAGAGAGGGAGAGGGAGAGAGCATTAGGAGAAGAAACGCGCTTTGACAGTGGGGGACCTATCACAAAGAGCTTTCTCTCTCTCTCTCTCTCTCTCTCTCCCTCTCTCTCCCTCTCTGATATTATGAGGTTCTTCATCTCCCCCTATAGGCTGGTAAAGCAACTGCCGAGTGATTGAATGACAGGAGAGTCAGCTGGGAATATAATCTTGATTCTCTGCCATTCTGACTTTGCTAAGGACGTCTGGATCCACTGTGGAACTCAGCTGAAAGGATTCTCAACATAAGTGGTAGAATATAAAAATGAACAGGCAGCTGGTTGACACTGATGCTTCTTGAATGCTGATGCTTAAGTGCATAAATTTCTGCAAAATGCAGATATAAACAGACTCATTCAGAGTGGTTTGATTTGAAATGCTCTGTTCTAGAGAAACCTACAGAGTCAGAGCTGTTCACAGTGGTGGTGAAAGGAACCAGACATCTGAGGAGTTTAGCGTTATTTTATAAAATGGTTATGAGGACACTGCCTGATGATGAGACATTGTTTCAAATAGTTGCTAGAAGGTATTTACCTGTAATGTATTTGTCTACAGCTGTTCATGGTAGAGAGGTACATGCAGGGCACTGTGTGGCAAAATAGTCCCCCAAGGTTTTGGATAGTAAATCAAATGGCTGTATTATATGTTGTAGACACTGTGACCCCTGATTCCTGTCACCACCACCGTAAAGAAATCTGAGTCGGTAGGTTTCTCTACAATGGACCATTTCACATCAAACTATTCCGAATGACTTTGTTTACATCT